TCTTTCCAGTGATGCCACCCTGTACAAAACCACTATGTATGATTGTACAGTCTGTGCACGCTTGTACAGTCTGTGCACTGCACAACTCCAGGTGCAACATCCACTAGAATATATCAATGGTGCCTCTGTAGCCCTGGCCCAACCTGAATTCTCCAGAGTGGCAGGTAGTCTGGACCCTGTGCACTATATACACATAATTAGAGACAGGGTCTTGCTCTGTCATCCAGGCTCAAGTGCTATGTTGTCATTATAGCTCACTGTAGCCTCACACCCCTGAAATTCCTGGGCTCAAGTGATCCTCCCACCTCCTGCTCATGAGCATCTAGGACTACAGGTGTGCACCACCACTTTCGACTAATTTTTTGAAAAATTTTCATTTTTGTAGAGACAGGGTCTTGCTATGTTGCCCAAGCTGGTCTTGAATTCCTGGCCTTAAGCAATTCTCCCTCCTCAGCCTCTCAAAGTGCTAGAATTACAGGCATGAACCACCGTGCCCAGCCAGAATATATATATATATTTTTTTTTGAGACAGAGTCTCACTTTGTTGTCCAGGCTAGAGTGCCGTGGCGTCAGCCTGGCTCACAGCAACCTCAAACTCCTGGGCTCGAGTGATCCTTCTGCCTCAGCCTCCCGAGTAGCTGGGACTACAGGCATGTGCCACTATGCCCGGCTAATTTTTTATATATATATATCAGTTGGCCAATTAATTTCTTTCTGTTTATAGTAGAGACAGGGTCTCGCTCTTGCTCAGGCTGGTTTTGAACTCCTGACCTTGAGCAATCCGCCCGCCTCGGCCTCCCAAGAGCTAGGATTACAGGCGTGAGCCACAGCGCCCAGCCCAGAATATATATTTTTAATGTGGCTGGATAATTGGGACTGGGCAATGAATATACCCATTTCTAGGGAGGAAAACAGAGCTGTCATTTGCTTTTATGCCATCAATTTCCTAAACACTAGGTACTGAAATTTGTTATTGCACTAAATATTACAGAAACACAAAGGTTATCTAAATGACTCTTTAGCTTTGAAATCTAAATCAACAGGGGAAATGTTTTACACATTTTATTCCACATTTCTTCATGTTGGATTTGCCATCTTATTCTTTTCTAACGATATAGTTTTTACTGGTAGATTATACGTGGAAAAGAATGGAAAAAAAATGAGTTCAAGGAGAATTATTTAATAGTATGTGTATCAGCCTTCTTACTTACACATTCCCTGGACATGTCTTCAAAAACGGTTTCTCTTTTCTGTATTAATACATTTTTTAAAATCGCAGCCTTATTGAGATCCGATTTAACCACAAAATTCACCCATTTAAAGTATGTAATTCTGTGGTTTTTCGTACATTCACAGAGTTGTGCAACCAACTTCACTATCTAATTTCAGAACATTTCGTCACCTCAAAAAGAAATCCTATACCCATCGACAGTCATGCCCCACATTCCACGCCTACCAGCCACAGGCAAACACTGATCTACTTTTTGTTTCTATAGATTTGCCTGTTCTAGACATATTATATAAATGGAATCATTTAATAAATGGCCTCTCATGACTGACTTCTTTCACTTAGCATGTTTTCAAGGTTCGTACATGTTGTCGCATGTATGAGTATTTCTGGTTTTTTTTTTCAAGACAGTAGATACATTTTTATTGAGCCTTTTGGTTCACAATATGAGGTAAAAGGAAAACTCTCTCCTTGATCAATATTTTACACAGCTGTAGTAAAATATTTGACTTCATGGATTTATAAGGGATTATATTTCTCAAAAATTGGGGATAACTAACAAGTTTTAACTCCATGAATTTCCCAGTTGACTCTTCCCTTATAATAGTAACAAGCTCTAATTAGTAACATAAGTTCCTCCAAGGCCAAGTTTTATCATTGCTGATGTCTTTAGATCCGAATCACTGCTATTTCAATCAGTATCCAGTAATTCGACTTCGCAGATGAGTTTTGCATTTGGTGGAATTTTGGCATCAGTCTGCGCCTTCTTTCCATGAACCCGCCCTGCATCAGTCTCCAGTCGACCCTCTTCTCTTCACTCATCAGCAAGGGTGCATCGTCCCACCCTCTGACGACTTTGCCTGCTCCAGCCCTAAAACTTACAGGCGTGGTATTTTTCTTCTTCTTTGAACTTCTTTGAATATCATATCAAAAGCAGTCCCATCCTGTAGTGTCCCTGTACACTGCCAGTGAACAATATCTCTCTTCTTGGGAAATTGGTCTTATCTCCCTTTTTTAGAACGGATTTTGTAGATTTTGGTGGACCCGCATCCAGAGTCTCTTCAGACTTGGTTTCTTTGGGTTTCTCTTCCTTAAGCTTCACATTTTTCACTTGCTCAGACACTTTTTTTTTTTTTTTTTTTTTTGAATCAGAGTCTCACTCTGTTGCCCAGGCTAGAGTGAGTGCCATGGCATCAACCTAGCCCACAGCAACATCAAACTCCTGGGCTCAAGCAATCCTACTGCCTCAGCCTCCTGGGTAGCTGGGACTACAGGCATGTGCCACCATGCCCAGCTAATTTTTTCTATATATTTTTAGTTGGCCAGCTAATTTCTTTCTGTTTTTAGTAGAGACAGGGTCTTGCTCTTGCTCAGGCTGGTCTCGAACTCCTGACCTTGAGCGATCCGCCCGCCGCGGTCTCCCAGAGTGCTAGGATTACAGGCGTGAGCCACCATGCCCGGCCTTGCTCAGACACTTTACTTACTCTTTCGGTACCCTCGAAACGCTTAGTTTATAAAAGACGGTGGTAGGCTGTAATCAAATGGTCCTCGTTAGCTGTCTCGGCCACATTTTTAAAGCTTCCTAACAATTTGTGTTCTGCAAGAAATGAATGCGAACCATGGTCCTGCAGAAACTTGGTAATGTCGGTCCTGGGCAGTTGGTTCCTGTGCTGCTGCTCCACGGTCCACACCTGCTGTAGCACAGCCACCGCCACTTCCCCTGCTGCCTCCGCTTTACTGTGCATTCGTGTTTCATTTTTTATTACTGAATAATATTTGGTTACATGGGCATATATGGATGTTGCACATTTTGTTTATCCATCCATCAGTTGAGTTATTTCCACTTTTTGACGATCATGAGTAATGCTACCATGAACATTCCCATACAGGTTTTTTCTGTGTGGACTTACGTTTTCAATTCTCTTGTTTATATACTTAGAAGTGGAATTGCTGTGCTATATGGTAACTGTATGTTTAACGTTTCGAGGAACTACTAGACTGTGTTCCAAAGTGGCTGCATCCCTTAATAATCCCACCAACAATGTTGAAGGGCTCCAGTTCCTCTACATCCTTGCCAACACTTGTTACTTTCCATCTTTTCTATTGTAGCTGTCCTAGTGGGAATGCAGTGGTATCTCAATGTGGTTTTGATCCGCATTTCCCTGGTAACTAGTGATGTCAAGCATCTTCTCATGTGCTTATTGGCCATTTTTATATCTCCTTAGGAGAAATACATATTCAAGTTCTTCACCCATTTTTTATTATTAATGTTACTTGTGGTAAAATACACATGACATAAAATTTATCATCTTAACTATTTTTAATTGTACAGTTCGGTGGCATTAAGTACATTCACATTCTTGTGCTACCGTCACCCACCATCTGTTTTCTAGAACTCCTTTCATCTTGCAAAAGTGAAATTCTGTACTCTTTAAACAATAACTTCCAAATTTCTCTTCCCCTGGCCCCTGAAAGATGTCATTTTACTTTTTGTCTGTATGAATTTCACTATTCTAGGTACCTCATATAAGTGGAATCATGCAGTATTTGTCCTTTAATGACTGGCTTATTTCGCTTAGTATAATGTCCTTAAGTTTCATCCATGTTGTAGCATGTGTCCAGATCTACTGCCTTCCTAAGGTTGAATAATATTTCAATCTGTGTATATACCACATTTTGTTTATTCATTTGTCAGTGGATGTTGGGTTGCTTCCACCTCTGGCTATTGTGAGTAATGCTGCCATGAACATGGGTGTACACTTATTTGTCCAAGTCCCTGCTTCCAGTTCTTTTCGGTATATACCCAGAAGTGGACGGCTGGATCATATAGTAATTCTATTTTTAATTTTTCAAGAAAATGCCATGCTGTTTTCCACAGCACCTGCGCCATGTTCCATTCCCACCAACAGTGCACAAGGGTTCCATTTTCTCTACATCTTCATCAACATTTGTTATTTTCTGTTTTTTAAGAAACAGTAGCCATCCTAATGAGTGTGAGATTTACTCCTATGTTTTCTTCTAAAAGTTTTATAGCTTTAGTTCTTACATTTGGGTATATGATTCATTTTGAGTTAATGTTTATATATAGTGTGAGATATCCCTTTTCTTTTAATTCCTAAGAACATCACAGTTTTAAAATGTTCTTTACTAGATCAAATATGAAAAAATTGCTAAGGAGGAGTTTTTAAATTGCTGTTTGGGGAGGTCTTTTAAAAAAATCTCTGACTCATTGCAGACATGGGAAATCACATCCATTATATCATTTAAAATATGCCTCATGTATAATAAACTCATTCAGTCTGTTTTATAAGCAGAGAAATCCAAATACAGGGTAACTTACTTAACAGAATGGCTGCCAATAACAGTTGAGATAATACTCATTGAAAGATTATGAATAATATCTTGATTATAAATAAAAGCGTAGTCTCATCTTTTTAGCTCAGAATTGTCTGAGACCACCTATCATTTTTTAGTCTGATTAATGGTGGAATAACTAATTAAAGTGGGAAAGAGATTAGCAAATCATTCAAGATGTCAAGTACAGTCAAAGTGCCATTTTGTCAGAGATAATTTAGTAAATCTCATAGCGACAGGTGTGCATAATTAATAGGGACTGAGATTGCCCAGATATTGAAGAGTCTAGGTAATGTTTTAAAAATCTGCATTCTTTGGTGAGATTTGATTTTCTTCCTCTGAATTGTCATACTGTTGAATTGGCCTTTGATTTATTGACATTCTAAGATTTGGTGTGGATTTTCTTTTTGCCTTCCAGGATGCAAAGAATCAAATATTAAAGACAAGTATATGGTACCGTGAGGTAAACGATTATATTTCTATGCATGCTGGACTCCTGATCTGGATCTACTGCAAAATATGATTACTCTAAGGAATTAATAGAATAGTATTATCTTTGTATTTATAGATCCTTAGCTCTGCAGCAGACATTATTTATTAGAATCTGTGTAAACTGTACAGCCATGGTTTCTGATTGGGTCTACCATCTTCACGATTTGGATGGGAAGTTCTTTCCCCTAATGGGTAGTACCAAGGGGCTGATGAATTGTTAATCTAAATATCTCCTTAGCTCTTTAGTGTGATCAACATTGCCCTATTTTGATAAATTTCCTTTTTGGCTACTCCTAACAGGTTTGGAATGATGAGTTTTTATCCTGGAACTCCAGCATGTTTGATGAGATTAGAGAGATCTCCCTACCTCTAAATGCCATCTGGGCCCCTGATATCGTCATTAATGAGTTGTAAGTGTGCTGGTGTGTATCTCTGTGGGATTTAGGCTAGTTAGAATATTCAGGCCAGTGGCTGCTTGCTTTTAGTCTGTATTCCTATTTTTTGTTTCCTAACTTGCAGAGGTGCATATTGTTGGGAATATTCAGGTTAGGAAGTACCCTGAATTGACGTCATTTAAGATACAGATATGATTACTAATGTTTGAGGTTACTCATTATGTCTGTGTTGCAACAGTAGCAAATGGGTTAAGAGGCTGTCACTACTGAGCCCATCTTTGCCAGGGTGAATCATCTTGTGGGAAACGTGAGTCTGTCTTTGCAATGCTAGGCTGGCCCTGGGTCTCACTGTCAGTACTATCTCATAATCAGTCTATGTTTAGAAATGACTGAAGCCCTCTCAATAACAAAATGTTCTCTTGTGTTTTGCATAGTGTGGACACTGAAAGATCCCCGGACCTTCCCTATGTTTATGTGAACTCATCTGGGACCATTAAGAACTCTAAGCCCATCCAGGTGGTCTCTGCATGCGGTTTAGAGACATATGCTTTTCCGTTTGATATCCAGAATTGCAGCCTAACCTTCAATAGCATTTTGCACACAGGTAAACCATGAGAGATACAGTCCCCTGGTTGGAAAAACATACCTATGCTAGGTTGGCACACATAGTGACCTTACATTATAGCATCCCTCAGGTCTATTTTATTCTTGCACGTAAGTGACTATTCAAAAATCTAACTCTCTTCTTGCAGTTTTTTGGCTCCTGCTGTAATTCAGACAAAGTATGATGTCATGGCCCAAGTGATTGATTTGGAAATACAATATTAAGCTTCCACTGCCATTGAGAATGTTGTAGAAGTCACAGGGCAAACCCCATCATTCTCTGTAGAACAGACTCCATACCCTAAATTCATAGGTTTTTTTTTTTTTTTTTTTCATTTTTTAATGACTGGAAAGACTTTATTTCCCACCTCCACACCCTAATTCAAATAAGACCAGTGAGATGATGCATGCGGGGGCAGGAGAAACAGGAAGGATTCGAATTGGGTGTTGGAAAAGTGGGTTGGTGTTGGCATCTCTTTCTCTTGGGGGAAGTCAACTGTTTCTGTTGTTTCCAGTGGAAGATGTAGACCTGGCCTTCCTGAGGAGCAGAGAAGACATTAAACATGACAAAAAGATGTTTTTGAATGACAGTGAGTGGGAACTTCTCTCTGTGTCCTCAGCATACAGCATCCTGCAGAGCAGCGCGGGAGATTTTGCACAGATTCAGTTTAACGTAGGTTCTTCTCCTTCTGTCTCTGCTGCCTACTTCTCTGCAGTCTTTGCCTTCTCTGTTGGGCTGAGGAATCTCTGCTCCATGGCATGCTCTCATTTGTTATCACCCAAGAACAGCTGGTTTAGATAGCCCTGGACATCCACCTGCATTCCAGCATTTTGGAGACCGGAGGTTCAGTGAGAGATCCTGGGCTCTTGCCAAAGATGTTACATGAGCCAAAATAGAGAGGGTGGTGTTCAAGCACCAGAGACCTGAACCATCCCCCTGCAGTGGGAATCCTCAGACCTCTCAACACCTAGAAACATTATCACTTCTAATTGCTACCAAGAAAAACACAAACAAACCCACATACAATAACAACAAAAGAAAAAACTTGGGAAGACTGTCTCATCAACATTATTAATATTTCCTGTTTTTCATTGAGTAATTATCAATTAATTCCAGATGCCGATGCATAAAATGATCATGTTATTAACTTGAATATCAATAAGTCACCTGCAGGATCCTCAGAAACCACTGGTAGCTTCTGAATCAGAGGGAACAACTACCCCAAAAACCGTGATGAGAACCCCCACTCTTCCAATGCACCCCTGGAAATGCCCTCGGCTGCATTGTTCACAAGGAACTTTGTCCAGTCGGGGGCTAGGGGGCAGTGGGATGCAGAACAGTGAAGCCTGCTGCCTTGTGTGCCATTCTCCCTTCTCTGGCCCTTCTGGCAAACTGTTTTTTTTTTGTTTGTTTGTTTTTTAATTTTTATTTTAGCGTATTATGGGGGTACAAGTGTTAAGGTTACATATATTGCCCATGCCCCTCTCCCCCCTCGAGTGAGAGCTTCAAGCGTGTCCATCCCCCAAACGTTGGCAAACTGTTTTGACATGTGGTCCACAGCAAGTTCACATGAGCAGTGGACTCACATTGTTGGTGTTCAGCAGTGTGCTCCTGTTTTCTGCACAAAGTCAGCTAGTGGTGCTGGTGGTGAGGGCAGGGTGGTCCTTCATGGAGCCAACTAATGGATCCAGTTGAAAAATAGAGAGGACAGGCAGGTCAGGGTGGTGCACAAGATGAATTCCCCTAGAAACAACCCTTTGGAATAAGAAGGGAAATTTAGACTAGACTAAGGTGCTACGGTACAATGGGTATGCTAAGGGGTGGTGGCGCAATGAACTATTATTGAGGGCACACGTGTCCCTCCGTTGGTTGAAATGTGTCATATGCAGGTTTCCAGCAAAGCTTTTGTTAAATTGGGGCCTTTTCGACACAGCTGTGGTTTAAACCTGACTAATGTGTAACACTGGCTAGCGGCTGATTGCAACTCATACCTTCCTAGCGGTGGGCTTTGGGTTCTTGGCTAGAATTCTGCTTGGTTTTAAGCAAAGCTTGCATTGTGGCCTGTTTGTCCACTTTTCTTAGTGAGGGAAAGGGAAGGGGAAAAAAAAGAAAGCTTTTTTTTTTTTTAAATTTCAATGAGTTTCTTGGCTAAGAGTAAACACCTCATTAATTTTAAAGATATCAGCCCACAAACATTATTAATGCAGCCCGAATAATGGAGAGCATTAAAGGGAAATGTGAAGGAGTAGCACGTGCAAGGTGGAACATAGTCACCTACCAAGCGCTCCGGAGAATGCTGCACACACCATTACCTACACTGCACGGAGGAGACAAACAGAGGCAAGAGATGGGGCAGGTAGACAGGAGTGTGTGCTTATGTGAGCGAACATGCACACACACACACTCCACGGAGCAGCCATTATTTGTAGTACCATACCACCCTTCACTCTGAATATTAATCTGTCTTCTCAAGAGCAGCTGAAGGTTTTCTATATACTACCTCCATTTCAGATATGATGGGCAGAGATGGGAAAAGGTTGTTTAATGAAGGGGGGGGGAAGTCCCTGGATCTCAGAACCATGGCCAGTTCCTTTGCTGTCTTCACTGCCATGCTTCCTCCCTGTGTGCAGTGTTGGCATGCAGGAGGAAGGCGAGGATTTGATTTCACACTCCAGAGCTTTGCCCTGGGTCTCTAAGGTAGGTTCTCTAGAGGGCTGGCTTCCCCCCCTGGTCCTCAGGAACGGAGTAGGGAAGGAATCCTGAGCAGAGTCACAGGTCATATTTGGTAGGGCAGGGAGCCAGGCTAAGGAGCAACTCTGCAGCTCTAGAAGGACGAAGTAGGCTCAGTGACTATCACAGGTCTCTGTCTGTCTCAGCCTCGCTCAGCTTCCATGCCTTTCTGTGCACTGAGCCCAGGCTCGCTGTGTTCTCTTGCTCCGCACCAGACATCCCACTCTGAATCTAGCAACTGAGGCACCCAGGTGTCCTTCAACAGCACTTGGCCAGTGATGTGACATTGAGAGCCCAGCTCCACACCAACACTGGGCCTGCCAGGGTCCTGACAGCAAAAGGCCATCTCCTCTTAATCTAATCACTGGCCATGTTTCCATCCAGGCTGCTCAGCAGGAGGTTGGGGACAGAGGGGGGCAGACAGGAGAAGCAATGATCTAGTCTAAATTCATCATTGCCCTGGCCTGACATCTGCGGCTGCCATTTATACTAAATCAAGTGCTCCGGATGCCCCTCGACTCCCAGTTAATGTGCAATCGTGGCTGCTGGCTCCGGGACACGTATTGTTTATCAGAGGGCACCGCTGACGCGTTGGAGTCGGGCTATTCCACAGGGGGCCCGGAGCACAGTCACTTCTCCCTACAAGGGCGTCCGTGTGCAGCCTGGGACCCGATCCAGCAGCCACGGGAGGGGAAGTCTCCTCCAACACATTATCGGAGGTGTTGGTTCCCAAAAACAGCAGGGTGAGCATTTGATTTCTGTATGGCAGTGTTTTTTTGTTCGAGAAAAGAATGAGGGTAGAAGTGGGAGGAGGTAGAAATAAAATTTAGGAACTCGTGTTGGATGGAAAAGGGTGGACAGCTGCGGGAACTAAACCGAGCCCAACCACAGACAGCCTCACACTGAGTAAAAGTGTTCATTCGGGCAGGAGTTGGGGCACCCACAGGGTACTTACTCCCACGAACACTCAAAGGGGCATTTGGGAAGGAAAGATGCTTCATTTATCCTCTTTTTCTGTCGTAACTTTCCTTTCTAGATTAGGGTAGAGTAATTTTGTTGAGATACCCATTGAATGCAGCTCATAAACTCCATAGAAGGTCCTTCTAAGCACTGTTAGATCACATGGGGGACAGAGAGAGAGAGAATTTAGAGCACTAGAAATCCTTCCAGGGTCACTCAAGGGATTTGGGAATCCTGCACTTTCTGTTAGTCCAGCCCAATCCACAGTCCAGATCCGAGAAACTCTCCCTCTGGTGCAAGAATCTTACTTACATGGCAGCAACTTTCCCATTCTTTCTGAGTTGGGAATGTTGGGAGGGGCTTGGGAGAGGAGGCAAATGGGCTTCTGTATGAAGCGTGAGTCTGGGCGTCAAAATTCCAGCTATGTCATAAAGACGGTCATGCAAAATTGAGTACTGGTGGGGTCTATCATCAAGGAGGCAATTAGAGGCTAACCTTGGGGCCTATCCCATCTCCAAGGAGCTCTCCACACACACACTCTGAATTAGATTGATCTCTTTCATTAACATCAATAGGCTCCAAATACCTTTGTGTACTTATTATTACCTGGCTTTAATGGATAATGAAATTGTGGCATAATATTGCTAACACCTGAAGGGTGTCTAATGGGGAACACGGACTGAAACTAAAGTGCTTTTTCTTCCCTTTCTGTGGAATTTAAAGGCACCAGCTCCTTTAGTCCATTAGAAATGATGGGCTCTGGGTAGGGGCAGTTTTGCAAAGAGCCATGTCTCACTGAGCTGGTGATATAGCTTCCCCCAGCAGAAGTAGGGGGTTATCGTTTCTGGCATGATCTGAAGACAGGTAGCCCTCAGAAAGGCTGACCTCAGTAGGCTAGCCCCCATTTGGGCTAATGGAATGTGTGGACACTTCTGTTCCATTGGAACTAAAAGTAGCGTTTTCACCAGACGCCAATGCAACTCGGTGAACATCCTTCAGGCCCTTATCATGTGCCAGGCTCAATAGTAAGCACTCAGGACACAAAGATGAATAAAACAAGGCTCCTGATACCTATCATGGACCTCTGCCCACAAGATACAATATTAGTAATGGCAACCACACAATCGAGCACTTCCTCTATGCCAGGCGCCATTTTAAGAGTTTGCACATGTACTTTTAACATCTCTGAGAGGTGGTTTCTCTGAGTAGCTGCACCTCTACAAACAGATGACTTGAGATGCAGAGAAGTTAAGCAACTTACCAGAGGTTGCAAGGTGACTGGTGGAGGCTGGACTTGAACCCAGGCAATTTGACTCCAGAAACCGTGTGTCTGATCCTATATCAGGCTGACACACGACTGAACATACTGCAGTGAATTCCAGTGCATTCCTTGCCGTCCACCCACTGTGCATTACTGGGCAAGTCACCTGTGTTAGTTTCACAAGGCTGACATAACAGAGTACCCCAAACCAGGTAGCTGACAGCAACCAGCAATGTATTCCCTCACAGTTCTGGAGGCTGGAAGTCTGGCATCGAGATGTTGGCAGGGTTGGCTCCTTCTGGGCACTCTGAGGGAGAATCTGTTCCATGCCTCTCTCCTAGCTCCTGGTGGTTGCCAGCAGTCCTTGCCATTCCTTGGCTTGTAAACGCGTCACTCCACTCTCTGCCTCCATCTTCACATGCCATTCACTTTGTGTGTCCCTTCTCCCCTTCTTATGAGAACACCAGTCATATTGGATTCAGGACTCGTCCTAATCACATCTTCAATGATCCCATTTCCAAATTAGGTCATATTCTGAGGTTCCAGAAAGGAATTCTTGGGGGCACTATTCAAAACCAGTCTGCCACCCCCTGGCCTCCCAAAATTCACTTCTGCCTTACATGCAAAATACATTTACTCCATCCCAACAGCCCCCAAATTTCAACCCAGCATCAACTCTAAGCACAAAATATCATCTAAATATTAATATAAGCTTAAAAAGTCCCCAAATTCCTTGTTTAGTCATCTATACAAGGTATGGACTCTGACTATGTTCCATTCTGGGGCAAAATTCCTCTCTGCCCACAGACTTGTGAAACATCCAACCACCAGTCATGTTCCTGATTCCATACGATGGGGGTAAGGGCAGGGGTCTGTCCTACTATAAGTGGTACTAACTCCAGTATTTAGGATAGTGCCTGACAACCTATTAATGACCAGTTAGTGTTTGTGGAATAAAGGGCTCTGAGGATCAAATGAGATAATGAAAACAAAATTTCTAAAAGCTAAGTGATAAAATTAGAGTTTCTTTAGGCTGCATTAGGCTTTTAGAGAAAATTAGTCTAGTCCTTTGGTAACATCATCCCTAAATAAACCTGAAGAAAAAGGTGGATTCTTTGTTCTAGAAGAAAACCAAAACTTCAGGTACAATTTGATCTATGTTAGGAATGGGAACACCCTTGCTAAAGGCAGGAGAATGGATGAGGTGGTTTTCGAAGGCCTACCTAGCTTTATAATTCTATGAACCAAATAAAGAAGGAGATTATTTTGCTTTATATCACAGCAGAAGCTAATTATACATCCTTGTACCTATGTCTTTCTCCTGACTTTCATCTAATTTCTTACTATTTTTTTAGTAGAGATGGAGTCTTGCTCTTGCTCAGGGTAGTCTCTAAGTCCTGAGCTCAAAGGATCCACTCACCTCGGCCTCCCAGAATGCTAGAATTACAGGCGTGAGCTACCACACCCAGCTTCATCTACTGTTGACATCCAATGAGGAATATCCTTCTGGATGTTGGCTACATAATTTGTGGGTCTCAGTGAAAACAGAAAGATGCAGGGCCCCTTGTTCAAAAATTATTAAGAATTTCAAAATGGCACCCGTGGAGCATTAAACCAAGTGCAGAGTCCTTCCAAGGCTTGCCCTGTGTGACTGTATACCCGTGAAGCCTGCAGCTTCCTGACTTCTTAGCTCTTCCCACACCTTCCTCAGCTCACACCTTGGGGAACTTGTGCTCTGATAAAACTGTATTCTTTCCCAGAAATCAGGGACCTCAAGGGGCCTCACTTCCTATCTCTGACTCGGGCTCAGACTTGCATTCACTCCCTGTGCCAGCCTCCGGTTGGAGAGGAATCATCTCGGCTTGTGCTCTTTACATAGGAACTTTATTTAAAGAGCACAACAGCTCATCTCAGTTGTACCCAAGGTGTTTGGCAAGGAAAAAGTAAGCTGCTTTTTGAAAGAGGGGGGAAATTGAGGCATGGAGAGGTTGACTATGGCACCCAGGATCACCTTAAACTAGCACATACAGACACTTGGGATGGAGGGGCTCCGAAACACTGCTCCCTTGGGTTTGAGTCTGGGCTCTTTCTGCTAACCAACATGTCTACTTGTTCTTTTCTTTAGGGCGGTGTTCTTATAGTTTTCTTCTCTTTTGCATAGCATCTGCTGTGAAGTCTCCAAGGGGTTTCCCATTTCTACCCTCCAGAGACAGCAGGCTTGGTCCCCATATCCCCCAAGGCCAAATCACCAATGGCCCAGGCTGGGTCACAGCACAACACCCCCATGGACTCTGACACTTGGCTCCCTTTTTCCTGCCCCCACCTAGCCATGACCATCTCAGTCCCAGCATGATGACAGGTGCTACAGGGGTGCAGGTTGATGACAGTTAATTTTGTTGTTGTTTTTCTGTTGTCTGCACTTTGTTAGAATGTGTTTTTAACCAAATTGTTGCGAAGCAGTGAGCGTTGCTCTGGTTTAGATATTTGCAGCCAATTCTGTTTAATGTGAAAGACAACAGCCAGATTACAATCCACCACACGGCTCTGGCCTGCCAAGCTCCACTGAGGCGGGATGTGCTCCCGGACCCAATGGCTGGGGAGCCCGCACTCTAATCAGCAAGGTGACGCCCCTAGCCAAGCTCTTCCCCTGCCACCTCCTGCTCCATCGCTGGCCTCTGCCCTTCATCTGTGCCTTGACTTCTTTCTCTGTGATTCCTTCCTAGAGTGGGAGATGGGGCTGAGGGAGGAGAACCTTGCATTTAGGTCAGAGGTCTGGTCGGATCAAGAGTCATGGCTATGCTGCAGTGGGGAAGAGCCCTGGACTTGGAATCAGAAGGTGTGGGGGCATGTCCCAGCCCCATCACTTACTGGGCATGCTCACTTGAGGGGGGTGAGCTTTAATTTTGGAACTCTATAGCGTGGAGGATATTACCCTCCAACAAATTTGCAGTGAGGATTAAACAAATCACATAGTATGTGCAAAAGCATCTAGCATGTTACCTAACATGCAGAGAACATTTTATTATTTGGTGAATCAGAGAAATGGGAGTTTTCAAGCATTCTTTTTGATCAAATCTAACAGCAAAGGGCTGTCAGTATGTTCATCTATTTAACAAGCATTTATTGAATACCCACCACAAGATCGATCTTATTTTTGGCCCCGTGGGGGACTTATCCCATTTCATCCCAGAAATGGGATAAGATGAGAGTCTCCAATCTAGTGGGGGTGGCAGGCCTGCCACTCCCTGCTTTCCCTTTAGGAAGGATGAGAATAGAGTATGTGTTTATTAAAGGCACTTCCCATTACCATCCCAAAGAAGATAGGTATGAAAAACAGCAATGGTAATCGTAGTTTTATGAGACCCAAATTCCAAGCTACAAAAGCTGCTCCCCCTCTCTGCATGCAGCACAGTGGTGGGTACCCAGGTCAGCTTCAGATGGCCCCACAGAGACCCACTTCCCCCGTCTCCTCCCTGTCTGTGCTCCTGGAGCCTGAGCCGTGGCCTGCAGAGACGGGATCATCCCTGGTCATGTTTGGCCAATGGGGTGGGGAGGAAGAACAGCAGGAGATTGGAGGGAGGGAGGAGATCGAGTGGGGTACTTACCCCTCTCTTTTCCTCCCAGTGGAGTCACTGCCAGGCTGGCTGCAGAGAAAGCCACAGCTCCTGTCTGGCAGTCTCTCTGCACAGCTTTCTCTCTCCTGGTGTCTGACCACCACGTTAGCCCTTGGCCTCTTTAGGCCTGAGGGTAGTAACAGCTCACCCAGTCCCCAAAGCCCCAGGGCGCTGCCCTGCTCCTTGTGGATGCCCTCTACCTGCCCTCGCCTTGAAAGTAGTCTCTCTGTTGAGTCCTCTTCGATTCTCCCAATTTAATTGTGCTATTTGCTCCTTCCCAGGCTCTGATAGACACACAGGTGCTAAGGAGCTCACCACCCAAGTAGGGAAATAGATGAAACCAAGTAAGTGGTTTAGGAAGGAAGATTTTGATTTTAGGTCAGTTTTTCACCTACCAGCTGTGTGAGTTTAAACAAGTGATTGAACCTCTTTGACCCCCAGTTTCCTTGTTTGGAGATAATAGGACCCAGCCCTTGAAGTGATGGGGATTGAATAAGATAAGCCAGTGCCTGGCACACAGTAAGTGGTCAATAAATGCCAGCTGCTCCTTATTGTAATTATGAATGATATTACTATTAGCTCTATAAAAAGCTTAAAGGATTCTTTTTCTATTTTCTGAACTACGAAATAACCTCAAACATATTTCTAAGATAAGCTACGTAGCCTTTTCACACCGTGCAAGCACGTTGGGACGTCAGGGAGCATCCCTGGCTGTGGATTTGGCCAGGTGTCCGTCCGTTGGCTTAGATCCTCTTTTCCTCAGAGTCCCTGTCCCCCGCCCAGGTGGTGATTCGCAGGCACCCGCTGGTCTACGTGGTGAGCCTGCTGATTCCCAGCGTCTTCCTGATGCTCGTGGACCTGGGGAGCTTCTACCTGCCCCCCGACTGCCGTGCGAGGATCGTGTTCAAGACCAACGTGCTGGTAGGCTACACCGTCTTCAAGGTCAACATGTCTGACGAAGTGCCAAGGAATGCAGGGAGCGTCCCTCTGATTGGTAAGCAGCCTCGGGGTCACCAGACACCCACCTTACGTTACTCCTGTCAAAGGCCTCCTGTTGCTTTTCAGATTGGAGGAGCGAGAGGCCCAGACTAACCCCTCCTCCTCCGGCCCCTTCTCTCAGGGATCTTCTTCACCGTCTGCATAGCCTTCTTGGTGCTCAGCTTATTCAAGTCCATCCTGCTGGTCAGATTCCTCCACGGTGAGCGGTGCAGTGGGCAGGAGTGGCCCCTCGTGTGCCTTCAAGGGGACACGGAGGCTGACGGACCTGCAGTGGATCCCAGGGCCCAGGACGCTGGGGTGACAGGTTTGTGAAAAGCCTCGAGGTTCCTGACCTGTCTTCCTTGATCTCCCTCAAAACTAATTCCCTTGGTGAAGTACCAGGCATTGTGTTGACTGAGTGACAAATCTGAAACAACAGCTTCTCAGCCTAGCGCTGCATTTTAGGATACCTCTCTGGAGATCGAAGGCTGCCTCTTGCTTGCTCTTTCTAGAAAGCCTCATTTGAGCTTGAAGGTCAGACTCTCAGTTGCCCTTAGGTTGTTTTAGTTTCCAATGACCTAAAGTGACTGAGCTGGCGTGCACATGCACACACACCGAGTTTGTATACCTCTGCGTTCTAGTTGCTTAATGTGAAAAAGTATAAGAATCATCCCAGCCCCTAAAGCGTCTACTGAGTCAACTTGGGCTGACCCCTAGCTCAGAAAATCTCCCAGATGGATCTAGCCCACCTACACTCCACTTCCATGATGTAGCTGTGACGGGTTCTCTGAGGCTTCCTTCAGCACAGCCTTCCCTCCCCTAAGCAGGGAGGAAGGGAGGAAGGGAGACCCCAACCCAAACCCAGTCCACTGCTCAGTTTGGCCCACACCTTTCCTTGAAGGATGAGGCCATCAGCTTGCAGGGAAAGTCCAGGCTCACCTGGGGTGTTGTCCTCTGCCATGCAGGGTCCCCGATCTGTCAAGAGCTCCAGGCCCCGGCAGGAACCCTGCAGGAAGTCTGGTCTCAGCTTCACTCTATCAACAACCACCTCCGAAGTCAGGACCAGGCGCACCAAGAGGAGGTCGGGTGGCTGGCCCTCCTGTACCGCCTTGACCAGCTGCTCTTCCGAAGCTACCTTGTCATGCTGGGGCTCTACACTGTCACCCTTTGCTCGCTCTGGGCGCTGTGGAGTGGCTTGTGAAGACTGAAATTTATTGGTCTCGATCAAAGTGCTGTCACAGCACTTAGGGGAGATTGGAGGGGGAAGAATGGCAGGTTGAAACCCTTGCCTCTTTCTGTTGAGTCCAGGCACACGCACTGAATGGGCTGCTGAGTGACCTGGGAGTACTGCATTGCTGCTGAAAATGTATCAGTAGTATGAGATACACAGTAAAAGTAAGCCTTCCCTCTTATCCCAGTCCACTCCCCTAGAATAACCATCTCTAGCCATCTCTTTCAGAACATTTCTAGGCACATGCATGTATATACGTATGTTTAAGTAGTTTTATTTATTTTTTTAAAGGTGTAAGATCACTCTGTCTCCCAGCCCTTCCTTGGTCATTTATTCAGTCATTCATTCAACAAAACCTTTCTTGAGTGCCAATGAAGTCCTAAGCATTATGTTAGACACACCAGAGAACACAAGCTTGGTCAGTCACAGATCATTCTCCACTCAACTTGATTCCTGTGATTGATGTCATACCAACCAGAACACAAAATTCCCACTACATTTGTAACCTTCTGAAGCTCCTGTTCCCACTGTCCCAGCCGAGTCCACTGCCTCCATCATCCTCCTCCTCGGCAGGGTGTCACTAAGGGGAGGACCCAGGTGCCAAGGCTTTGAGGCCCAGTCTAGTACAGCACTTAGTGACGGCACACCCTGTGTCATGCACTGACCAGGAGGACAGGCACATCCCGTGGTCCCTTGGCTCAAGCCATTGGCAATCCACTGTCCCGGTATTAGTCAGTTAGGGCTGCCATAATAAAATAATACATACCAGCCGGGTGTGGTGGTGTGCGCCTGTAGTCCCAGCTACTCGGGAGGCTGAGGTAGGAGGATCGCTTGAGCCCAGGAGTTCAAGGTTGCAGTGAACTATGATCATGCCACCACACTGTAGCCTGGGTGACAGAGCAAGAGCCCGTCTCCTAAATAAATAAATACTACACACTGGGTAGCTTAAACACAGATTTATTTTCTCACCATTCTGGAGGCTGGAAGTCCAAGATCAAAGTGTCAACAGGGTAGGTATCTTCTGAGACTTCTCTTTTTAGCTTGCAGACTGCTGCCTTCTTGTTATGTCTTCACATGATCTTTCCTTGTACATGCATATATCTGTGTCCAAATTTCCTCTTCTTATAAGGACACCAGTCATATCGGATTAGGGCCCCTTTTTTTCCTTTTTTTTTTTCGAGATAGGGTCTTACCCTGTCACTTTTAACTCTTAGGCTCAAGCGAGCCTCCCACCTTAGCCTCCTAAGTCGCTGGGACTGCAGATGTGAGCCACTGTGCCATGTAGATTAAGGCCCATACTAATGACCTCATTTAACCTTCATTACTTCACTCAAGGCCTTATGCCCAAATACTGTCACATTCTGAATTACTGGGGGTTAGGACTTTAACATATGAATTTTTGGTGGGGAGGGGGAATACAATCCAGCCCATAATACTCATGTGATTGTGATGTTTTTGCAAGGTCAGAATCCGCAGTGTGGGTCAGCAGGCTGGGTGCCCAGTTTGAGTCCACAGGTGACAGAATTCCCTCTTCTTCCAGGAAGGTCAGTCTTTTTCTAGTAAGGCCTTCAACTGATCGGATGAGACCCACCCACATGACAGAGGGTAATGTGTTCTACTTGAAGTCTACTGATTAAAATGTTAATGTCACCTAAAAAATACCTTCACGGAAACATATAGAAAAATGTTTGAGCGCATCTCTATGTGCTGTGGCCCAGCCAAGCTGACACATAAAGTTAACCGTTGCAGCCCTGGTGGCCCCTTGGCTTCTCGTCTGTGCTCACAGTCACTCATCCAGAACAGGAGAGCCCTGGTCACCTGGCACTTGGGGAGCTAATCCACTTTTGGCACCTCTTCTCTAGTAGCCAAATCTGTACCAATTACCCTGTCTTACAAGTTCCTGTGGCCTCATAACCTGAATCCTAAGATGAGAATTCAAGCCTTCCCCTAAATATCCTTCCCTTGTATTTGACTTTCTTTGCTTCTTTCATTGTTTCATTGTTTCCATTGAATCTCCAATCCAGCCAAGCCAACCTCCTTGCCATCCTTCTCCAGAAAGGGTTTATTTCCACCTAAGCCTCTACTTGTATTGGGCATGTTCTTCTGGGCTTCACCAGTTGGTATTTCAGTTCTGTCCAGGAACCTGCTCAAATGGCCTTCTGCCCCCACTCCCTGGCCCACCTTGCCCACCTAGTACCCTGTTCCTCTTGCCTCATCTCTACCTGGTATCTTTAGTCTTACATCACCTATATCCTTCTCCCTGTGAATGTTCCACGGCCTCGTGTGTGTGTGTGTGTGTGTGTGTGTGTGTGATTTGTCACACGCTCCTAGAATAGTTACTTGTGTCTTTTGCTAGTTTATCCCCATCTACCTACACCCAGGTCCATACAGAGTTGTGCTTCATATGCTGATTCTGCAATAACTACTGCAGAACTACTCATTCTAGCTTACACGGATGGCGGGCACACATCTTGTGTGTTTTTCCAGGTCTGAGAGACAAAACCTACTGAAGGTCAGACCCCCAGTCCCTGGGCATCCCTCTGCCCCTCGCCCAGAGAAGTAGTCAGGAGGCTGGCGGGTAGAGCACAGTGGGCTGGGTGATAGTCATCAGTCCTAGTGCTGTCGACAGAGGACACAAAAAATCCAAAGCTGTTTGCTAGAAACTTTTCCCAGCACTAAAATTGCCTTTTAAAAAAATCTGTCCCCCTCCGTCCCCCTGAAGAAAAAGAATTTAAATTCAAACAGCCTTTACCTGCATCCTCCCTCTCTCATTACCTCCCAGTTAGTGCTCAGCGCCAATTGTCCATGAAATTCCACTGCTGCTTTTAATGAAATGAGGAACATAAGAAGTTTGTGAGCAGGAAGTGTCCACACAAACCTCCACCTGTTTCCTCCCTCACTTCCTACTTTCTACTCTGGGCCTCTGCCTTGCTCCACATGCACGTGGGGGCTCGCCACTGTGGTCCCCAGGGCGCCTGAGTGTCCCATCTAAGTTGATTCCAGCTTCCCCCACTTCCTCCTCTGTACTAGAGGAGGGAAAGAGGAAAAGTCCTACAGTGAACTCATTGCTGTAAGGTCTCCCTCCTTCCCAACTGGAAACACCAGATTAAGAGTCAGGAATACTGATTTTGGTCCTGGCTCCATCACTATCTAGCCAGGTGACCTTGAGCTTAACTCCTCTGACTTCAACTTACCTTATTCCAAATTGGGGCTGTTTATTCTTACTCTACACATATATCACAGAGTTACAACGATCAAAATGAAGCAATGTATTAGACAGCACTTTGAAAAGTAAATAATATATCACAAAATAAAGATAAGACCTGCCTGCTGTCAACAAATGAATTCCAGTGTGAGTCTTTGGTGTGAGGTCCAATTTCCAGCTACCTCTATCAGCATCCAGTTATGGGCTCTGGTTCTCCCCATCGGTACCTTTGTTACAGGATCCAAAGGCCAAGGGCTAAAGCCATCACATGCCTCTTTGCAGAGAGACCTAAAGGTGGGGGGTGGGTCACAAAGGGACTTCCCATTCCTTTCTCATGCAGCTCACCTTTGCCCCATCTCTAGATTACATGGCCCAGGTTCCTCATGTCAGCCTCTAAGAAGCAGCCTTCAGGGGTGAAGCCTGACCGCCAAGCTGGTCCCCGGTGTGGACTCCTTCTGACTGGTGCCAAGTGGCCCTATTCTCAGATGCAGCCAGGAACTCATTCTAAGCCCCAAGGTCAGGCCTGCATGCTGAAGCAATGACATCGTTAACTACTGGCAGTACAGACGTCCTCCCGGAATGGTGTCCCTCTGTGGGGGGAGGAATATGGGAGCCAGCAGCCTTATTTACAGAGCAGCTTGAGCTTAGCCCTCCAAATGTTCATAAATTTCAGGATTCCTGTTTCATAAAGGAAGGAAACTGAGGAACAGAGCAAAAATGGGATTCTCCCAGCTGTGACTGCTCCTACCATCTGTTGTTTCCCAGAACCTAAGGTAGTTTCTCCACTCCCCAAGAAATCACAGCTCCAGTTCTGGGGGCTTCACTGATGTCTAGAATCACGAGTTGGCTAAGCGCAGTCCCCGGCTGGGCAGGCAGCCTTCATCATTAAATCTGAAGATGACTTCCGAGTACTGCTCCAGTGACCCCCCAGAGCCTGTGCAGCCTTTTGCATTGCCAATAATCAGGTGGCAGAGGGTCTCTCTTTCCTCTTGATATAACCCCTGTCCCCCATAGTTGTCCTAGAGGAGCAGGAGCCATCACAATAAAGGAAGCTGAACTTTTCACCTCTTAAACCTCTAAGACACAGCCAGTTTCCCTGGGTCTGACTTGTAGCCTAGATGGGCAAGGACCAGGAAGTGAAGGAAAAAATGGCCACGAGGGGCGCCAGAGTGAAACACACCCGGTGGAATTAGTCCTCCTCTTTCAGTTCAGCCTCGGGCTTCCCAGATCCTCTCCCTTCTCAGGGGTCTGATTATATATACATCCAAAGGCAAGGTTAGTAGAAGTGTGCGGAATCTACATTTTACCCTACCGTGGCTCTGAGTATTCTAGAAAACTTCAGAGCTTGGATTTTAAGGTGACAAGTTCTTTCACCAATTCCTGGCTGGTGGATGGTCACCCCAGGGTGGAGAGCCCAGGAAGGCATGGCCTTCTCCTTGCAGCCTCCTTTGTGCCCCTGGGCCCCACCTGAGTTGAGCTTAGTTTACCCTGCCCTGTTCCCTGGCTCAGACTCCATCTCAGCAGCCGGAACTGCTCAGTCCTGAGTTATTTACCTGCCGAGACAGTAAGAGCTTCATAATTAGCTGAGCAGCAGCATGGAGGCTTTTATGAGCAGCCGCGCCCCCCACCACACTCCGGTGTCCGTAATTGAAATGACCCACGCCAGTGATTAGATTAGGGGGCTGAAGAAGCCCAGCACGCCAGCCCCAGCCCCCTCCCCTGTCCTGTCGGGGAGGTGATGTAGTTAAGTTTGTGCTTCATTTGG